TCCCCAGCCAGCATTCGCTGGCTGGGGAATTCTGGGAGTTGAAGTCCGGACATCTTCAAGTTGCCAAGGTTGAGAAACACTGCACTAGAAGACGGCCTGTATTCCAGACGTAATCTTACAGAATGGTGGTGAAGGTATAACCCACTAAATATTTCTGGGGCTTGGTTCTTTGCAACAATGAGCAAAGGGGGAGGGGAAGAGTAGATGATCAGCAATTCTCATCTCATGGATGAATGAAATAAGTCCTATATCACAAATCCTATATGGATACAGTATTACCATAATAAAGGTATCTTCAATGCATCATCTATTAATGGTATACTTTTGTATGTATATTAAGACACACGTTTTTGTTGAGATAAGAACGTAAAAGTGGAAATTAAGCCATGGTTTGCTCCATTGAAGAAGCTCAAATTGACCTGATCCGTACATGTCCTTCCTTGTTTACAAACCACAATTGCTCAATTTGCACAACACATAAAGCCAAAATGAGGCAAATGATGTTAGTTTAACTCAATATATGAAGCCAGGTATTAAAGGTCTTAAAATATCACGTGTACTATAGTCTACTACTTTTACCCATTTATTTATTTGGTTGGTATGTTTTCAGCTAGCATGCCGTCACAAAACCTCTTAATACAAGGAAACATTTCGTTAAAAATTACCAGTTCCATGACTATTCCTTGCATTAACAACCCATTTTCATATAAACAAATGTAACAATGGGAACAAAAGTATACATTTGTAGCAAAACATAGGTACAATCTGAAGTACTTTTCACTAAAGGCACTATTTTTCTTTTTGTCTACTCCGATTCAATGTTATATCCGATTTCAAGGTAATACACTTACATAAGTACTTAATTCAGGCACTGAAGGCAGTATTTATAGCATACCATTCTCCAGCGTTTGTCTACATCATTAAATGGGTTAGCTTAAAGAGAGATAGGGACTGGTTTGAAGTGAAGCACTGGGCTTCCCTGACTGAGAGCATCCCCACTCCTAGTCAAATACAAGTCAGAATGATATACAAGTCTTTTAGCAGAAAAATACCACAAAATATCACTAATCCAGAGCAAATGGTATCTCTATCTGACTTAAGAGCTCATAAATATTATAATTTCTTAAACATTTGTTTAAATCTGAACAGGAGCCAAACAATAGAAAATGCCTTTCTATCACCGACAGAAAGGACGATCCATCCAAATTTTATAGATATGAATAAAATGCTAAGATACAAAGACATAATTGGCAGACAGGGAAATTTAAAAACAATTGAAGAAATTATAATATTTATGAGCTCTTAAGTCAGATA